TTTCAGGGAAACCCAACTATGCTTTCCTCCCCGGGATTGGCGCTGTAGGTGCAAGACTCTAAAGAAGAGGGGTATGGTCGCCCCAATCCTCAGAAAATGACAAGTTAGCTCAAACGCCCGGATAAAAGCAAGCGAATTTGGGTGAAGCTGCGACGGGGCCAGCCCCAGATGGCTGAAGACCCCGACCTGAAAATCGCTGAAGGGCAGCTGTAACCCAAGGTCTTTGAAAGAAATTTCATACATAGGGAAACTGTACTCGGGGAACACCGAGCAAATTCGAGCAGTGAAAGATGGCCGAGTGACCACGAAATTCTTCTGGAAACCGGGCTGGTTGTGGCCCGCCTCGAGGATAGTGTATGCCCTTCGGCTACGTCGACTATAGACCGAAGCTATCCCTCTAGGTTCGGCACCCACCCATTCCAGCAGAGGGTCCTCTATGGTGTCAACCAAACTCACATTCTCATCAACACTTTGTTCTTCCACCTCGGGCCGTCCTGAAGAGCACGGTTCGTCCGCCATGGTTACCTACAAAGCACGGGAAACCAATCAATTGGGCGCGAAACCATACGCTCGCCATAACGGACGAGATGAAGGGCACGACAAACCACGTCGCTCCACGCGCGACTGCAAAGTTGGTGTTTTGGAACAAAAAACAGCAGCCATCTCCCCGACTCCCAGATACCTCGACAGGTCCTCCTACAAGTCGCCTAAATAAACCGACAACTCGGCACTCATGAATACGTCGACCCAGGGTATGAACATGACGAGCAAAATCATAAAGCCTAGAGCTAGAGCTATGAGTCTACCGGGCATAATCACGAATTAGGCGCCCTGGATCATGAAGACCCCGGGCAGCACTGCAGATTAAAACCTAAACTATGCATTTACCGGGCACGAACATGCGCTTGCCGGACATACGCATGGATCCGTCGAGCTAAATATGAATCTACCGGGCTAATGCTAGGCGTACAGTCTCTAAACGTCTAAAAACAATGAAAAATCATGCATCACAACAGAAAAACAAAGGAGACAAGTCACTTACTTGGAATCAAGAAGGAAATTTGACGATGGAGGAAAGGAATCAGCGACGGAGATCGCGACGGTCCTATAAGAATTTGGGAAGAATAGCAACAGCAGAAACAGAGTGAAGAGGAGAAGCGCGAAGAGTGGAAACACGTTCTGGGGCCCAAGGGCCCTATTTATAGTGATGACGTGGAATACCAAACGTCACCTCGGGCAACCACGAATTCCCCTCCTCGACGCACAGCTCCCCTAGGCAATGATGACCCTATCCTCCATAGGGTGGCGGCGCAGTTCCCAAAAGAGACCTCGCGTGCTCGACAGACGCAAGCTGCCGAGAAACCCCTCGAGCATTCCTCGCAGGGAACCTGTCCACGAGCACGATACGGGGAAACCCTCGAGTACCCCACGAGGAGCTGCATCTCTTGTCCGAATACGGGGCCCCGCAACAGAAGATACCTAAGATCAAGTCATGACTCCTAACTCAAGGAACCACGACTTGGGGGGCTCCTGTTCTGGACTGGGCCGGGCTGGCCCAAAAGCAACGATAAAGGCCCAATCCAAACAGACTTGCTAGGGGTCACGCCGGCCTAAGGACCACAACTATGCCCGGCGTACTTCACTGGGGCGACACCCTCGACCTCGTACTATCCAGCTCGACCTCAGCTCGAGCACTCCTCCAACAGCAGACACGGTCCACTACACTCTCAACGGGACCCCGAAAAGACCGCGTCCTTGTCCGCCCGCACTTCACGCAGGACATCCAGGAAGGGGACCACGTGCGAGTCCCCACTACACACGTAGAACCTGGCAGTTCCTCCATTGGGCCAAACCTGTCCCGCCCAATGAAGGAACCTTGGCCCAGCGCTGGGGGCTATAAATACCCTCTGTTCCCAGAGGGTCAGGTATTCATTCTATCACATATACTCACACTCTGCCTGCTCGTACTCTTACTTACTTCAGCATCGGAGTGCCTTGCAGGTACCCCCACCTCGTTCAAAACTTCAGCTCGGAGCCAGCCGTGACGGTCCAAGTTTGATCAGGTTAGATCACATTGATTTACTTAATCAATTTTTAATGATATTTTAATTAAATTTTTGTTTGACTTTGAGATATGTAAATATATTTAAACATTGTTTTAAAGATATTGATAAATCTTTTAGAGACATATCTAAAACCTTTAAACTTAGAAGTTTGAGATGATAAATAACACGTATCTAAAAAAAAAATTATAATTTAATTTAAAAAAAATTAAATTTGAGATAGGAAATATTACATATATCCATTAAAACACTAATTTTTTATTTATTACATTATTTTGAATATTACATTACTATTAAAATTATAATATAAATTAATTATTTATTTTATTTAAATTTTTTATTAATTAATTAATAAATTAATTTTCCTTGCTACGTACGGGTTAAAATTTTAGTTATTATTATTATTGTTATTACTATTATTATTTATTATTATTTTATTTTGTAAAAAACAGATAGATGTTATTGTGACAAAAATAAACAGAACCTTGCCTCTACCACGAAGGAACAAGTTGGAGTTGCACTGAACTCAACTGGCCGTAAAAACGCCGGCGGAGGATGCGATCTTCGGCCGCGATAGCCACCACCGCAAAACACAACACTCAGCGCTCTAAATCTGTTCGATTGACACCATAGGTATTGTGCTTCTATTCTTTGAATTATTGAAGAAAGTAGCGATAGTTCGGGAAACCCCATACGTTTTTTTTCCTCTGCGTGATAACCACCCCCTCACATGTCTTTGATTTGATCATTACCTTTCATGTTTATTATGCTCTGGTATTGTCGGTGTATTATTCACGCGGCTGCCTTGCACACCATGTGTTTGATTTATTGTTTATGTAACATGGTTTTGCATTTTCAGAAGAAAAGTGGATTTCAATTACTTGTGAAAGAAATTACATAGTCTCTTGATCTACCATGTTTTCAGATTCTCTGAGTACTTGCAATGGTCATAATATTTTCTGCCATGTATAATAGCTTTTTTCTTGTTGCAGCAAGTATGCGGTTCTAGTTTTAATTTTTGGGTTTTATTAGGAGTTATCTTCTATGCAGTACCACATTCTTCCTCTTCCGGTGGTTCAATCAGTGTCTTTAATAATCCTTCTCCAAACACATGTGTTAGTTTATATTTAACTTTGATGGCTTGCATTGACAGAAAAAGAATGTGCACGTATTGAACGTTTGTTATATGTAGGTTACTATTCGATTGCATATATTCAGAAGCAGTATGTGTACTTATATGTCTACTCAGTTATTGGATGTATCTTGAAATTTAGATTTTATTCAGCCTTGAATAGAGCATCTTTTTAACCTTATTAGCGTGATTCTTGTCATTCAATTAAAAAGAGTGAAGACAGAGAAATCTTGAACCAAAAAAACAAAGGATTAACCTCTTTGCATGAGTATCCGAATTCCTTTCTTTTAATGACATTACCTGTTTGTTTGTTGTTTTTACCTTTTTTTTCTTAAACTGATTAATAAACTTGATTTTCATTCCACTTGTCAGATGATTGAAGAATGACTCTAACGAAACGGTATGTACTGAGATTGTTCATATCAATAAAGTACATAACTGCAAATGTTGTAGATCGAAACAGTGGACGAATAGTAGCAACATCATCCACTGCAGAACACGACATCAAGCAGTCCCTGGAGTGTGCCAGGTCCTGCAATGCAAAAGCAGCTGCTGTTGTTGGGGAGGTATTGGCCCGGCGACTCAAGGTTGAAGGGCTTAATGAAGGAGAAGGAAGAGGTATTCATGTTAATGTAACTAAGGAAGTAGAAAAGAAAGGATTTAAGAGCCAAACCAAGATTTGGGCTGTGGTAAATGCTCTTAAATACAATGGAGTTAAACTTGTTCTTGATGATGAAGATGATGGCAATAGTTCTTGACCTCATTCATAAGATAGGAATGTAATTATGATTGGTCTCATTTCTTAGATGTAACTAAAAGAGCAATGTAATTTTATAAGTTATTTTAATCGTTAGTAATTTCGAAACACTTTTTTGGGTACGTTCATGTTTGAAAATTCATCAATTAGTTTTATGAAACACTTTAATTTGATATGTTAATTTATCTGCCATCAACTAATTTATCAATTATATTATATAACTTATTATATCATCATAAAAGAAAAATAAAATGACAAGAGAACTGAAAGTGGGCCATGCAAAGCGAAATATTTTAAGGGATTGCTGATTTCACCTTAATCTTACTAATACACACCCTTCTCTTTATACAACTGTTTATTTTTATAAAACCCTTTCTTTTTACACTAAGATTACTAATTAAATTTTGATATAATATTTGTTATATTACGAAATAGCACCGTTATATCTTCAATCATATAATTTTTCATGCATTGATTTCTTCCCTTTATTATCAATGGAGATGATTAGATAAATATATGTATTTATTTATTTAATCATTGTTCCTTTATTATTATACAGTATGTTGATAGGAATGTTAGGTATAATGTTTTTTTCTAAGAGTGTTAGGTATCATGCTAGTCTAAACTAAAAATAAGTACTAAGCATGTATTTATTATTGAAAAGCATGCACATACCAATTTTCTTATCTACTTTAAATGATGTACCTTTCACAAATGTGACAATGAACAACCCCAAATTTATGGCAATCCAAATAAGAGTATTTACAATAATTACAATAATTTTATTCAACAATAATTACTACCTTCTAGTCATAGTCATAGTAGTATTGAACAACAAGAAGAAAAACCTCAAACTAATTTACCTTTTACCAACCAATAGTCACACATAGATTAAACAAAGATACAAACAAAACAAACCACAACCAAATCTCTTTAAGCAAACCATCACCAGATTCACCTTCAACAGGAGAGAAAACAAAAAAGAAATATAACACATCTCCTGTTTTCTTGGTGGTGGGAAGAGGGAATTGGAGTTTTGAAGGTGAAAATGATTGTGGAATCAGGAAAGTGGATGGTGCTAATAGCAACTGTTTGGATACAAGCATTCACTGGGACAAACTTTGATTTCTCATCCTATTCATCTGAGCTGAAATCAGTTCTTGAGATAACTCAGCTTCAGCTGAATTGTCTTTCAGTGGCATCTGATATGGGGAAAGCTTTTGGTTGGTGTTCTGGTTTTTCACTCATGTATTTTCCTTTGTGGGTTGTTATGTTCATGTCTGCTTTCTTGGGGCTTCTTGGTTATGGCTTCCAGTGGCTTGTTATTCAGAGATTGATTACTTTGCCTTACTTTCTGGTTAGTTTTCATCATCATTCATAATCAATTTCTCTTTACAATTTTACTTGGTTGTTAATGCATGTTTTGTTAGTTTGATTTCTGAGTTTTATTACCCCATGTTATGTGCTTTTGATAGAAATCATGTTGATAAATGATTATGTTAAGAAGTTTGGCAACTAGCGACTGGTAATATTCAGATTTAACCCTCAAGGGTTAGTCTGTCGCTGAAGGCGTCCTGAGAGTGTACTTCTCTCAAGGTCTCATATCCGAATTCCGCTAGATACTAACAATTCTTGTGTTGGGTCAGTCTGTAAAACTCTGGCTTTAAATGCCCCTTGCTAGTGGACGGTGGAATTGGTCCCCTTAAAAAGCAAATAAGAAATAATAATCATCTAGTGTTAACATTGTTAGAATAACAACACCAATTCAAAAGGAATCGGAAATGAAAAACGCAAACGGAGAAGACATGAGATTTGGTCACGAAGTTCGACTACTAGCTTACTTCTCTGACTTCAAGCGGCCGCAATGCCTTTCTATTATCCTGCTCGAATGACCTGCAATAAACGAGTCAATCCCAACAAACATTGACAAAATTTTCTTACAACACAAAATATAATTGTTGCATGTTGTTTCTGAGCCACTTTTCTCGCCTGATATAAAGAACACTTGCAAAGTATATATGTATCATGACAGCAGTTTTGTTAGATTGTACCATTTTTCTCAACAAATAAATTCTCCGTAGTTGCTGCAGAGAATCCAAGTTGTTGTTTGCATAACTTTATAATAAAGGTTACTAGAGAATCCAAGCTATTTCTCTCTGGCTTCTATCGCTTTTTTCACAGAATAATTGTGTGAATTTCAATTATTATTGCTCCCCTACTGTTCTTCCTTTGTCTTTTTTATACCCCTTTGGAGCTGAAATGTTTTTCAATTCTTTAACTCCTGTCATTGCACCAGCATAGTGTCACAAATTCTGGCTCGATGCCTTTCTTATTGTATTTGATACTATTTATAATAGTGTCGGTAATTACAGGTAATTACAATTCATAATGACTAATTACAACTCATAATAACTAATTTCCTATTCTACGAATGTAAATTATTCACAGTAAATGCGTTTGACTATTTCCTGATTAACATCCCCCCTCAAATTGATGCGGCTGGTCAAGGAGCATCAATTTATTTTGATGTCGTGGACGTGGAACAGCCTTGGTAAGAATATCTGCAACCTGCAACTGAGTACTAACGTGAGGAAGTGATATTATTCGATCATCGTAGGCGTCACGTATTGAATGACAATCAACTTCGATATGTTTGGTACGTTCATGAAAAACGGGATTTGCAACAATGTGAAAGGCACTTGTATTGCCAGCATAAAGGGAAGTTGGCTCTGTTTGGGGAAATCCAAGTTCAGCCAACAGACCACGAAGCCAAAGTATTTCTGAACAAGCAGCAGACATGGCACGATACTCTGGTTCAGTAGAAGATTTAGAAACTCTTGCTTGCTTCTTACTTTTCCAAGAGATCAATGAAGAACCAAGAAACATGCACCAACCGGTAACAGATCGACGAGTATCAGGACACCCTGCCCAATCAGCATCACTATAAGCACTCAACTGAAGAGAAATTCCAACGGAAGAGAATAATCCGCGGTGAGAGGTTCCCTTTAAGTAGCGAATTGTACGACGAACCACAGCCAAGTGAAGATGGCGAGGAGAATGCATGAATTGACTTACTTGTTGAACAGAAAAAGATATGTCAGGGCGAGTAATAGTCAAGTAGTTGAGGCTACCCACAAGTTGTCGATACAATAAGAGATCAGGCAAAAGATCACCATCATCACGATGATATTTAACATTAACCTCAAGAGGAGTATCTACCGGATTAGCCGATTCGAGACCAGTCATAGAAATCAAATCTGTAGCATACTTGTGTTGATGGAGAAAGATGCCCTTGGATGTAGAATGAACCTCAAGACCAAGAAAATAATGTAGATTACCCAGATTTTTCATGTGAAATGAGGCTTGTAATTGTTGCTTAAGTCGCTGAATGGAAGCAGGATCCGAACCAGTAATAACCATATCATCAACATACAAAAGAAGCAGAACAATATCCGCAGATGTGCTATGAATAAATAAAGATGAATCATACTGGCTCTGAGTAAAGGAGAATCCAAGTAGAGTGGAGCGGAATTTCTCGTACCATGCTCTAGGTGCCTGTTTCAAACCATATAAGGAGCGTTTGAGCTTACACACGCCTTTAGATGAAGAGAATAAGCCTTGAGGTGGAGTCATATAAATATCTTCTGTCAGGTAACCATGAAGAAAAGCATTCTTCACATCCATTTAATGTAGAGTCCACCCGTTAGAAGCAACTATAGAGATGATCGTGCAGACAGTTGTCATTTTGACAACCGGTGCAAATGTCTCATCATAATCAATTCCATATTCCTGCTTGTTTCCTAATGCAACCAAACGAGCCTTGTAACGGTTGAGAGACCCATCAGAATTCAATTTCACAGAATACACCCATTTGCAACCTATAGGTTTTACATCAGGAGGGCAAGAGACAATATCCCACGTGAAATTCTCTTGAAGAGCTTGAAGCTCTTCATTGATTGCTTTTATCCATCGCACCTCCTTAACAGCCTGTGAGTAACAAGTAGGAATAGATATGCTAGAGAGTGTGGCAGTCAGAGAAGTATGTGAGGAATCATACCTGTCTGGTGAATATCTATCTGGTGTGCGAGATATTCGACCAGAACGCCGTGGATTAGCCGATACAGAATCAGGTGACGGTTCAGTGTCGGGAAGGGGTGTGGGAACCTGTTGCCTGTGTTTTCTGACATATACATGACCTGGTTTATAACGTTCTATAGATTGAGGCATAATAGAAAACTCAAGAAGAGTAACAATATCATTAATGGCAGGAGAAACACAGGAAAACATAAACTGATTATCAAAAAATGTCACATTTCTAGAAATACGAAAACGATGGTTAGTGACATCATAACACACAAATCCCTTATGAGAGTGACTATATCCCATAAATGCACATTGAACGGATTGTGCTCCAAACTTATGCCTTTCAAAAGGAGGTAAGTGAACAAAACACACACACCCAAAAGTATATAAACACTATAATCAGGATGAATTTTAAAAAGACGAAAGAAAAGAGAATCAAGTTTAATAACCGTAGAAGTAAGACGATTGATCAAGAAGACAGCTGTGGAAAGAGCCTCTACCCAAAATCGGGATGGTACAGAAGCTTGGAGAAGCAACGTGCGTGTTACATCAAGCAAATGACGATTCTTACGTTCTGCCATACCATTTTGTTGAGGGGTATTGGGACAAGATCATTGCGACAAAATGCCTTTTTGTTGAAGGTATTCCTGAAACGTGTGAGACATGTACTCACCACCAGAGTCAGAGCGAAAATTTTCACACTTGCTTGAAATTGAGTTTCAACATATGTCAGAAATTTCTTAAACATAGAAAATACTTCAGATTTAGACCGAAGGAAATATATCCAAACAAAACGACTATAATCATCAATAAATGTGACAAAATATTTATAGTGAGAATGAGAAACTACAGGAGACATACCCTATACATCACTATGAATCATTTCAAAACAAGTGGAAGCACGATAAGCACCAGACGAAAAAGGAAGTGTTTTACTTTTAGCCAATTTGCAAACAGAACATGAAATAGAGGCGTTAGAAACATTTTTATTTCCCAACAAACCATTTTTAAATAAATGGGACAAAATAGAAGAGTTTGGATGACCTAATTTTCTATGCCAATCCTCATAAGAGTTAAAAACATTATTACAAGCAAGAGATATATGATTAGAAATAAACTGGAGCGGAAACAGTTTTCCCACTTTAGGCCCCTTCGCGATCACCTTCCCCGATACCTGCTCCTGCACAAGACAATCATCACGAGAAAAGTTAACATCATAATTTTTATCTACCAATTGACCAACAAATAATAAATTAGACGCAAGTCCAGGCGATACAAGCACGTCCCAAAAATCAGAATTTATGTCGCCAATATCAGTAATAGATAAAGTATTACCATCAGCTATTTGAATTTTCTGATTACCATGATAAGAGTGTAAATTATGCAAATACTCTGAAGAACCTGTCATGTGATTGGATGCACCCGAATCAAGAAACCATGGGTGAGAAACATTAGAAGACTTACCCTGAATTCCCAAGGCCGAAAGAGTGGAAAATACCATTTGTTGAATAAATTCAGGTTGTATAGCACTATTGTTTCATGCGCCATTAGTGGAAGGACCGACCACATGATTTGTAGTTGCATGGAATGCCTGTGCTGAACGTTGTGTTGGTCGTGGAGGACGTGTGGGACACTCAGAGATAATATGACCTTGTTGCTTGCAGTAACTACAAAACTTCTTATTGCAGCTACGGGCAATATGACCAAATTGTTTGCAAGAAAAGCACTGAACCTGTCTAATATCACGACTTTTACCTTTACTTTGAGCAGCATATGCAACCGTCACGGACTCGGAAATGGTAGCATCATGAGACATGGCTCCTTGAGTAATAAGACGCTGTTCCTCCCTTAGAAGTTCTCCAACACATGTATCTAAAGAAGGAACATGATTCCTATTCAGCAAGGCACCTCTGACAACTTCAAATTCTGGACGTAATTTCATGAGAAATTGATCTCGTCCACTTGTGTTGTAAACCTCTTGAATAACCGCGAGAGAGGTCTTGGGAACATTAGCATGTATAATAGCAGAGTGTTTTGCCCAGAGATTTAAAAAATCAGAATAGTCTTCTTGAATAGACAAATCACCTTGTTTGTGGTTGGTTATTTCTAACTCCAACTGAAAACGTTTTGCTGATTGAAAAATAGCGTAAATTATTGATCATCTGAGGATCAATACTGTTGAGAATCCAAGTGATGATTTGAGCATCTTTAGTTTCCCACGCATCTAAAGCAGTTTTCTCCGTCGGTGCCTTAGAAACATCATCTAGATGATTCCATAATCCCTTTCCTTTAACATACATCTTGAACTGAAATTCCCATGCGGAATAATTCTTGCCGGTAAAACGGACACAAAAATTCTTTTCGTTTTCCATAGCCATGATATTATAACCCCAGGAAACCCCGCTTAGTAGCCAACGAACGGTGAAGAAACACGCACGATCGAGAAATATCAACAATGAAATCACGATCGAGAAACACCAACAAGACAACAATGAGACCACGATCGAGAATCGCCAAAAATCCAACAATGAGACGACGATCACCGGAACAACTTGCGATAAACACAGAATCAAGATCACGAAGCAACAACAATGAAGAAATCACGAAATGGCAATTGAAAGATTTCAATTGAGAAGCGCGATTTCGAGAAATACAAACAAGAAACACGATTTCAAGAGTGACCCGGTGGGGTATCACTGTTCAGCCAAGAGAATAAGAATTCACAGGTTAGATCGAACCTTCTGATACCATGTCACAAATTCTGGCTTGATGCCTTTCTCATTGCATTTGATACTATATATAATAGTGTCGGTAATTACAATTCATAATGACTAATTACAATTCATAATAACTAATTTCCTATTCTACGAATGTAAATTATTCACAATAAATGCGTTTGACTATTTCCTGATTAACACATAGAATCACGCTGTGCTTCAATTTCCCTCTCGATATCATTTAGATCCAATTTGAGAAAAATCAAAATAGTAGGAACTCATAGGTAAGACTCTTAATTTTACAGCCATATCAGAAACAAAGTATTTTGAAACACAAGTCCACCCAGGTATTCAAATTTCAAAGATTAAGGCTAATGTTGCATATCTTCATGAGTCCACTTTGTAAAACGAAGGATTGTGGATCCAAATCCAATTTTTTTGGCATATGTTACTACTATAGGCCGTTAAAATGGCCAAGCATTGGTGCATGTACTTTTCTATGTTAACAAAACAATGTTGTTGTATTGCAGGTATTTTTCCTATGCTTGATTGCAGGATGTAGCATTTGCTGGTTCAACACAATCTGCTATGTATTATGCATAAAAAATTTCACAACTAACCGTTCACTTGCATTATCTTTAAGCATCAGTTTCAATGGTGTAAGTGCAGCTTTCTACACTCTCATTGCCAATGCAATAAACTCAAACAATGACACTCTCTATCTCTTACTCAATGCCACTGTTCCTCTCCTCATTTCAGCATTAGTACTCATTCCAGTTCTCCAACAACAACCACAACCTCAACAACATTCCACCAACTCACTTAACCTCCGTGAGTCCATAGTTTTTCTTTGCCTCAACATCCTTGCACTTGTCACAGGCCTTTACCTTCTTTTCCTATATTCCCTTTCATCGTCCTCCCTGACCATCGCCCGTGTTATCCTTGTCGGCGCGATTTTTCTCTTAGCAATGCATTTTTTCTTGCCAAGCATTGTGAATTTGAAACAATTGTCTTGTTGTACTCTCCCTACAATTTTCTCTCTTGTTGACAATAACGATGAAAACGAACTTCACAAAGAACTCATTTATAAGGAGGATAATGATGTAAGGAGTAACGAAAGTGTACAAAGCTTGATGATTGAGAAGAGCTATTGTTTTGCGAATGTGTTGGAGAAGGAAAAGATTACAATGCTTGGCGAAGAACATACAACTAAGATGTTGATTCGTAGGTGGGACTTTTGGTTATATTACATTGCTTATTTCTGTGGAGGAACAATTGGATTGGTTTATAGTAATAACTTGGGACAAATTTCTCAATCACTTGGATATAACTCTGAGACAAGTTCTCTTGTGACACTTTATTCGACGTGCTCCTTTTTCGGTCGGCTTCTTGCAGCCGCACCCGACTTATTTAGCAGGTACGTTTTAGATGTCTTAATATGTAGGTTCAACGATAATTTAGATATCTTAATCGTAGTTAATCCACTAATGTTGTAAGAAAAATGCAGCAAGACACACATTGCAAGAACTGGATGGTTTGCAGCAGCCTTGGTACCAACACCAATTGCATTCATTTTACTAGCCATATCCGGTACTAAAACGGCGTTACAATTAAGCACAAGCTTAATTGGATTAAGTTCTGGCTTTGTGTTTTCTGCGGCAGTATCTATAACATCGGAGCTATTTGGTCCAAACAGTGTTGGTGTGAACCACAACATCCTCATCACAAACATTCCTTTAGGTTCATGTCTTTATGGCCTTCTTGCAGCATTGATTTATGACTCTAAGGCCACAAGTTCAGGACAATCGATATGGCTGCGCGAGATGTCTTTGTGCATGGGAAGGAAATGCTATATGCAGACATTTATATGGTGGGGTTGCATTTCAATTGTTGGATTGGTTTCAAGTTTCTTGCTTTTCTTAAGGACTAAGCAAGCTTATGACAGTTCTGAAAGAAATAAAAATAGCAACAGAATACAGGCAAGTTAGCTTTTGAATAAGAACTATGTTGTGATGAACATTGTGTACCATATGATGCAACGTTGAAAATTTAAGGAATGAAATATATAAATAATATATAAATAAGACTCTCCCGATCTTTTTTATAAGAAATATTTCACATTTTTAAATTTATTGAATAATTAATGTATCTGGTCTATATTATAGACTAGATACATTAATATTTAATGAATTTAGAAAGGTAAACTGTCTTTTATAAAAAAAGACTAGAGAGAGTATTATTTTTTAGTGCTTATTGAGTAGAAGTTGCTATAATCATTTGTAGTTCTAAATGCTAAACAAAAAAAATAGGGTCAGAGACTGTATTTTTTTTTGTGATGTTCGTAACATATTTGAGGATGTAATTTTAGAGCGGTTTGTGCAATGTAGTATGATACAATTATAATGTAGTTGAATTATTTTATTTTGGAGACTTTGTGATTGATAATCTAATTGCATAATTTTGAACAATGTCATAAATGTCTTAAAAATAGGGATTTAGTAGTCGGTTCAACTCAATATTCTCTTTAATGACAAAAATCATTTTCTAAAATATTTTCAAGACAATTCATATTTCCATGACTATCAAAGAAGTTACTGGCTATGGTTTAAGTGCTTTTTTGAGTTTAGTAAACCATTTACTTTTGAAGTTCAAATGATGGCGAAGAAAAGATATTTTTCTTAAAGCTTAAATAGTATTCATGTCTATATAAGTTAGTGAAATTTTTGTTTTCGTCCTTGAGTCATTTTTTTTTGGGAGCAAGTCCCCATATGTTTAATTTTTGTTAGATATAGTTCTCTTTAATAATGGATCGTTAAAAAAAAGTTGAGTTGGCAAACGGTGATGACATAGATTATGTTTTATCATTTTATATATTCTTTTCAGTAACACGCGTGGAAATATCATTTTTTCAGTTTATTAAAGAGAGACCAAATCAAAAGAATATCCATTTCTCTTTTCTTCCCCCTCTCTCGGCTATTGCAAGTTGTTCTTCCTCTTTGCACCTTCAACATTCAAATGTCCATGATTTTTTTTCCGTCTGCCAACTCTCATCACGTTCAAGCACCGATTTGTGGTTGCAATAGAAGTATAAAAATGTTTATGTCAAACTCTGTTGAAAACCTTAAAATGAGATTTTAGAAGTGTAAAAATTCAGGGTTAATGTCTGATTGCAAGTTGTTCATTTGGGATGATGACGTTGAACGAAATCCACCTAGTGGTCCTAGAAGTTCAAGTGGATACAACTACTCGGATATGTTGAAGGATTTAGGACCCATAGTTAAGGAGAAGATTGACAAAAAAGGAAAAGATGGAGATTAAGTTGGAGAAAGAGAAGAGAAAAGTGACTTTGTTGAAGCTATTGTTGGTTGTGTCATGGGGGTTATTCTTTGTTTATCACAAATGATGGTGAATCCCATTTGTTTGTGTTTGTTTGTTGTTTTTTTGATTTTAGTCCTTGTAACATTAATGTATTTTGAAATTGGTCCATGTACCATATGATAAATGAAAAAGATGTTTTGGTTTTAGACAATATATGTTTGCAATTTTATCGCTTCTCTTGTTTTGAATTGTGCATAAACCAAACTTGATAATGTGCATAAAAGCCAAATTGATACTAGGTCTTTTCAATTATGCATAAACCAAACTTGATAACATGCATAAAAGTCAAATCGGTACTAGACCATTTCAATTGTGTATAAAACAAACTGGATAATGTATCAGAAATGCACAATATATCATAAACATAAAGGCTTAAGACAAAATACATGATTGTATCCAAAACATAAAAGTTCAAACTCTAAGGCTAAAGTCCGAGTAGTATTGTAATTAAAATACATAATACAAAACAACAAGGCTTAAGCTAAAGTACACGATGTAGTAATGTTGTTCAAAAAAACATAAGTCAAAATAGATCCAATGTCTATAATTTCTATGGTTGTGCAGAGTTATTTCCTTCTCCTTTAAGCTTTTTGCATTTGAGTACCCTTGCTCTATCACTTCTCCTCAACTCCAACTTCCTTGCAACTTTTTGTTTGGGTTGCTTTGTCTACAAAGACACAATAAAAACAAATACAATTAGGCCAATATTAATAAAGATGAGAATATACACCTTAACTCAATTAGTCAGTAGCAGACTCAACTGGTTTAGGATTTCTATGAGGCGCAGAGACATGTTCCTTAGGTGGAGGTGCATGAACAAGTTCATGAGGTGTAGAGTCAACCTCTTGAACAGGTGCAGACAAAATGTAGTTTGGTTATGAGTCACCAACTTCTTGTGAAGCCATTACAAGTGCAACATCAATAGTTGGAACATGGTCACTAACAACATGAGGTGGAGCTAGAGTTTGGAAAGTGAGATTATTGATATTGGGTTGAAGTTGTGTTGTTTCAAAAGTTGCACAAAGATCTACTGCAAATATTTCAAACTCTTGGTCCACATCACATTGTATTTCAGGTTTTTGTTCAGTTGAAGGTTCATCTTGAAGTTATTGTTGTTCAGTAGAAGCTTCACCTTTGCATTGAGTTGTTTGTTCTGATATAGATTCAGGTTGTGTTGTTTGTGTAGCATTTTTATTTGTTTTTTTGCACATAGAATGATGCAATCAATATTACTTACAAACAATTAGTAAGAATACATATTTGAGCTAAGTTAATATCTTTCTTTTCTGAGCTTCAGGGTCAGGCACCAGAACTGAACAACTTCTTGCATTGTGGCCATGTACACTATAATTGGTACAATAATACGATGTATGTGTCCTTCTCCTGTTAGGGTCCTCATAAGGTTCTATCCTCCTTAATTTCTTTGGTCTACCAGGGCCTCTTTTGTATGATGGAGGAAACATCTCCTCAGTATTAACTCCACGCCACATATCTTGACCATTAATTAGGCTAACATTGAAATCATAACATGTCACATATGTTTCTTTTGAATAACAGTTAGGGATGGCAATGGAGCGGGTTGGGGGCGGGTTTAAGCACACCTAGACCCGCACCCGCCACCCAGACCCAGACCTGCCCCCGCCCCCAAATCCAGTCGGGGCTAATATTTATTCCCCCGCTCCCACCTCCAATAAAAAACGAGTTTCCCCGCACCCACCCGAATAAAATATTAATTTTTTAAAATTTATACTTTTTTCAATAAAAATAAAAATCAATAATTAAACTAAATAATTAATTATTTTAAAAGCATTTTTTATGTTTGATATTTTTATTTAAATTGTATTTTCAAAATAAATAAATAATAATTTTAATAAACATGATATTATAACATTAAAAAGTGTAAATGAGTAATAAAACTATTAAAAATAAATGAAATAAATTAAATTTAGTTGGCGGGTGTAGGTGCAGGGTGGGTACTAGCATCACTCGTCCCTGCACCCGTAAATAAAAATTGGGTTTTCCCTGCACCCGCCCCCGGTTAAACCGGGTTTTCCCTGCTAATTTCGGGGAGGGGGCGGCCGGGGCCCGACGGGGGCGGATTTATTTGCTATGCCTAATAACAGTCATCATTGTCATTACTAACACTAACCCCACTTGATGAACCTCCATTGTCATCAACATTTCTTATCTTTGTTGGAGTTGTCCTGTGTTTCCTAGCTATATGCTTAATCCTTCCAGTTGGTTTGTCAACAACATCAAATCCATCATCCAAGCCAATGGCCCTTTCATCTTCACTGTCCTCAAATGATAAACCATTATAATCACTATCATCACCATCACCACTACCATCTCCTTCAACACCATCAAGATTTTCATCAACATTTTCAGTATCACCCTCAAGATTTACATTGGAAAATTCATCAACCTTGGCAGATTCATCAATATTTGCATATTCATCAACATTTAGATTTCCAGCAATAACATTACCATCAACATTGACATTTCCAACATTAACATTATCATCACCCTTAATAACATTACCAGCTTTAATATCATAAACATTATTAGCAATAACATTATCAATATTATCATTAACATTATCATCATCATTAACAACATTATCAGCTACAACTACTCTATGCTCAACAAATAAGTTCACACTACAACTAGTTTCAACAAATTTTTCATAAACCTCAGCAGCATCAATATCACTAACCATCCTTTTATGCTTACCCAAAATAATATTATACCACCATAGCCAATAATCAACGGACTCAAGATTGCAAATTTCTTTCACAATACCAGTTGCTTCAAAGAAAGTCCACCTATCATGGTCAATGTCTACTGCATGTTCATCCATACCTAAGTAGTATATGACATTGTCTCTAACAAAATTTCTCCCATAATGAATATTCACCATAAATTTCATACCTGGAAGATTGGATTAGCTCGCTCAATCACGATTGTAGCTTCGTCACCTACAGTCGCCTCACCCAGACAAGCGTTTGTATCAGTCGTCTTCTCCTTCTCTGAGCTCTGACTGAAATGCTTTTTAATTCTGAAATCCTAATTTACAGGGACTAAATCAAAAGAGGGAAATGCGTTTTGATGAAATATTGGGGGGTGGGGGTGGGGTGGGGGAAAACTATATATCCATGTGTGTTAATGAAAAGAATAAAACAAATTCTAAAACATAAGCCAAATCATCACCGTCTGCCACCTCAGTGTTTTTTTAATGGATCACTAACAGTAGGGACTAACGCCAAAAGGAATTGGACATATGGGGGCTTAGACAAAAAAAAAAGATTCAGGGACAAAAACCAAAATATCTCTAACTTACAGGGACTAAAACAATATTTAAGCCTTTTCTTAACTATAAAAAAGTCGTCGCCATTTTGATAAATGACACCTTAGTCGCGAATGAAAAAACTAAACGCGTAGAAAATGATAAAAGGCTAAATAATTAAACCAATAAAACAAAAATATTATCTATGTAAAATTTATATCCGTAATGGACTTGTTGACTATTTGTATGATTATTACAATACTTAGCAGTCTGTCAAAAAATTGTATGCTTTGAAAAGTTTATGCTAAAAAGTATATTGTGAGC